AAAAAAAAAAAAAAAAAAAGTGGGAAGGAATAAAACAACAGAAAAATAAAGATTATTGAAAGTGGATGGCCAAGCGTGGTGACACATGCCAGTAATCCTAGCACTTGGGAGGCTGAGGCAGGAGGATCGCTTTGAGTTTGAGGCCAGCCTGGGCTATGTAATGAGACCCTGCCTCAAAAAACAAAAAAATTAAAAAAAAAAGAAGAAAAAGAAACTGGATGATAGATGTGAATTCCATGTGTGTTACTTACAAAGACAGATGGACGTGGTTCTTATCCCCACTGCTTGCTTTTGGAATGCCATGGAGAACAAATTTAGTAGCGTCGCAAAGGACCCAGAGATTCCTCTAGCGCCTAAGCTAATGGCTGAAGGAAAGGGCTGCTTGAAGTTCCCAGTGAACACTGCCCAGTTATAACAGAACTGGTTTTTGTTTTTCCAGAAGTGGAGATTGAACCAAGGGCTTTCACACTGAGCTACGTCCCCTGCCCTTTTCAGAAATTTTTTATCTTGAGACAAAGTCTCGCTAAATTTCCAAGGCTGGGCTCCAGCTTCCAGTCCTCCTCCCTTAACCTCCCAGGTGTGCACCACCATGCCCAGATTTTTTAATGATACTAGGGATGGAACACAGGGCCTTGTGCATGCTAGGCAAGTGCTTTACTGCTGAGCTACATCCCCAGCCTTTTTTAACTTTATTTTGAGACAGGATTTTGTTAAGTTGCCCAGGCTGGCCTCGAACATGTGATTCTCCTGTGTCAGCCTGAAGAACAAAAAGCTGTCACAATTAGACCGCAGACCATTTGCTGTTCCAGTCACTCTCTCGTGCCACACGCGATAATCATGCATTTACAACCATGTATGTATGCAGGCTGGACATGTGTCACCGTCACACGGGTAAACGTGTGTGCAGGGCTGTTTCCTGTTCCCCCCCATATGGAAGACATGTCTTGCACGTCGCCCTACTGATAGTCACTGCTCCCTGTTAATCCTGAGCAGCACTTCCAGCCCAGGTCCCTGCACGGCCCTTCTCAGCCTAACACCCCGAACTGGAAAGTGCTCTGCTTGCTGCACCCACAAGCGGTATCTGCCTTTTGGAGTTTTTTCCTGGGCGCTATGAGTCACAAACCCTGGCCTGGGGATGTGGCTCAGTGGTAGAGCACTCGCCTAGCGTGGATGAAGCCTTCGAGTTTAATCCTTGCAAACACAAAACACAAACTAAAAAATGACAACAAAAACAGAAAAAAGCCCAAATTCCCTAAATGGAAGAGAAAGACATACAAGCAGCATAGAGGCATGTAGATTTTAATGTAATAAAGTAAGCCCCTCTGGGTCTCATCCCGATTTGACACTCGAGTCACCAAGCCCCTTCTGCAGAGCCGCTGCTTCAGTGGGGCCGGCGGGTGGGGACTCGGGCAGCGACCCGCCCGGAAAACTGTGCGACCAGACCAGGACGGGGACTGCTTCCCCGGGGGTGATGCAGCTAAGAGCGTGGGGCCTACATGTCCCTCTGCTCCAAACACTGCCTTGCTGCAGGTGGAGACAGGAAGCTGCAGAACCGGAAAGCAAAATAACTCAGCAGAGCCACGCCAGTCAACGCGCTGGGCCTTCTTCTCTGAATGCCAGTTTCACATCGTGTATTTTCAAATGGCACAAACAGATAACCACTTTATTCTACTACAGACCTAGAGGTGGAGTCAAGAAATCAGAAGCCCATTTCAGAATTAAAAGGCCCAAGTTCTGTAAGAGGCAGTCATGCACGCTAGCGGGGGGTACTGCACATCCGTATCCTGCACCCATCTCCGTGTGTGCGCACTTAAATCAGACGCTGCTACAGAAGCAGCCGGATTAAGAGGCCGGAGATGATCCCTGACATCTGAGCGCAGCAGTCCTACCGCGCGCCTACTCTAAGCCAGAGAGGAAAACAGCAAGATGTCACTGAATTCATGTGTGAGGCTTTAAAACTTACCACTTACTTTTGCACTGCATCCAGTTTCTGGTCTCCACCTTCGCTTCCACCTCGACCCACGAAATGCCCTTGTAGAGTTTTTCCCGAACGATCGACAGGCGACTATCAGGGTTTTCTTGGAGTTTAGAATCCATTCTGTTTAACTCCTGCGGAGACATTTTCCTTAGAATCACTTCTTCAACAGCCTTGATGAGCTTCTGGGTTTCTGCCTTACTCCAAACACCATGATTTCTTTCTGTAGATAGAAAAGGACAGAGGACTCTGTAGTTGCTGATCTATTTGCTTTTAAATACAAGATTAAAGCCGGGCATGGTGGCACACGCCTATAATCCCAGCACTCGGGAGGCTGATGAAGGAGGATCACTGTGAGTTCGAGACCAGCCTGAGGTACACAGTGAGTTCCAGGTCAGTCTCAAGTACATAGTGAGACCCTGTCTCAAAAAACCGAAATAAATAAATAAATACAAGATTAAAAACAAGATGATAAATCGGATACTTCTCAGAAGATAGTGGGCAACATCTCAACTACGAACATAGAAAATGATCAAATGTGATTACACACAAGTTAACATGAAACTACAAAAGTGGCCATGAGGTCTTTTTAAGAACCGAAGTAAGACACTGTTGAGAAGTCCTGCGGCTGAGGAAGGAGGTCAGAGGTAGAGCACTCATCTCCCATGTGTGAGGCCCTGGGTTCCATCCCCAGAATGGAATAAAAGCCCTCTCTTAATTTTTTTTCTAACTTTAAAAAAGTTGTCCTTCCTGTTTCTCAGAGAAGAGAACATGTCTCCTCTGTGGCACTGTGAGGTTTCCAAATGTCACGGACTTTTATCCAGGAGCTCCTAGGATCCAACCACCAGCCACAGTGACAGCAACCCAGGGTGACACAAAGGTCCCCGAGAACTGTGAGCCCGCGGACAGCACAGGGCTCTGGCAGCCCAGGGCGGTGCTTCCGTCCCTCAGCAACCATGGGGATGAATGCTGAAAAAGCAACAGACGTCCAGCCAGCGGGGAAGAAAAAAGATACCTAGAGATTTTGTTTTAAATTCGGAGTTTTGGTTTGCTGCTGCTTGGAAACCGGAGGAATGTTGCACCACAGTGACCATGTGGCCAGAGCATGCAGGGCGCTGTTCAGACCGTGACCCCCGAACTGAGAGCCACCTCATTACAGCAGTTTTGTGTGTTTTGAAGGAAAGATAGAACCAAAGACACTTTTTATAAAAGAGGAGAAAAAAGATAGGAGGCTGCCCACACTGTTTAGCAGACCACACGACCCCAAGGCTCTCTCCAAAGGTTCCCTGGCCACGGTGAGGAAGTGGCCTCCTCTGCCAGCTTCTTGGGGACTGGATGGCCATGTGGCAGTTACATTTGCGCTGCAAGTTACTAAACTGAGCTATGGTAAAAATCAGCCTAGTGAGTGTTACTGACCACAGGATAAGTGAAATGAACTAGCGGAGAGGCTGGCTTCTGACACCATGGCCCACTCAAGGATAGGCTGTGGTGATCGTCACTTACTGTTACGGATCTGGGAGAACTTGAGGGCGACAGAGAGGCTGCTCCGGGCCACAATGGCCCCGATCTTTTTCCAGTCATTCCCATGGAGGGACTGGCATGCCTTCAGCTTCTCAGTATCCCCTCTGCTGTACCTAAAAGGAGGACAGTGAGGTTAGCCCAATGTTCTCACCACAAGACCTGCAGTCGGGGGAAAGGCTGAATGCAGGGTCAGAACCCAGTTCCAGTCCTCATAATAGCCAGCACTCTGGTCACGGCCTCTCTCTGAGCTCCACGGAGGCTGATCCACCCACCCACCCATCACTGTAGGTCCAGTCAGAGCTACCGATGGATCTCAAGCGATCTCACAGCCTGATCTGCCCTCAAGGCCTCGGTCCCACTCCACCTGGATGGTGACAGCCACAGCGCCCCTCCAAGGGGGTGGCCCAGCCTGAGCTTCGGGGCCTCGGGTCCCTCCTAGACAATGCTGTGCTTCCCCAGCTCACACTGGTCCTGAGTTTTGTGCTCTGTCGTATCCATAGCCCCAACAGAAGACAGGCACTCCACACACACACAACAAATACCTACCACAAATATGTCACAGTCTGAGGAGTTAAATAAGCATTAATCCCACGTAAAAACAAACAGAGACAAGTACCAAAAAGGCACTATAATGTTAAAATGGAACTGGAGACTAAGCACCTTTACTACTTAAGTGGAGAAAAAGCAATCTTGGCAACACCCTAAGATTCCTAGGTCTTAATGCAGCTGGGAAAGTGGGCAGGGGAGGGAAGAACAGTGGTTTCGATATTACTAAGGCGATGGCAGAGGGGCTGCAGTCGGACATGGTGATGTTCTAGTGTGTCCTGAATGGATCTGTACATGCAGATTATTTTTCTTCACTATTGAGGATCCTGGGAATAAATAAAAAGCAATACTTTCTAGTAGTTTTCACCTTAAGACAGTCTGAAATTAAAAAAAAAAAAGAGAAAGAAAAACAAAGAAAACAAAAAACCCCATAGAACATAAAGACCTTGAAGCAAATGAGAAGAGGAAGTAACAGAGAAGAGAAATTAATTGCTGGACATGGGTCACACACTTGTAATCCAGTACTCTGGGAGGTGGAGACAGGAGGACTAAACCTGAGCCCATCCTGGAACTGAGAGACTGATCTGTCTCAAAATTTAAGAAGGACTAGGGATGTAGCACAGTGTGAGGTCCTAGGTTCAATCACTAGTCTGCCTTAAAAAAAAAAAAAAGAAAATATAAATTAGTTTTACAGAAGGAAGAGGTGTTCTGACCTTCTACAGCTCCCAGAGTCTTAGAACTTCTTTGGTTTTTGACTTTCTCTGTTTTTTTATTTTTATTTTTTGGTGAAGAAACCTTCAGCTGGAAAAAGACTAAGGGCAAATGATCCCCTTGACACAATAATTTGGCACAAAAGAATGAATGTTTTGAATTACGAGAATGTGAGAATTTTATTATTCCAAAGTCTATTCCTGGAGTTAGGTACAAAATGTGGGTAGAAAAGTGGTACCCTGGCAGCCACTGGGTTTTTTTTCTTTTGTCTTTTTTTCGCAACAAGATCTCACTATGTATTTCAGGCTGGCTTTGAACATGCTATACAGCCTAGGCTGTCTCGAACTCAGGGTGATCCTCCTGCCCCACCTCCTGAGAGCTGGAATTATAGGCATGTGCCACCATGCCCGCCAGCCACTGTTAATTTTATAAATCCCATTTAAAATGCTGTCTTTAGTGAATTTTCTCAAAGTTCTGTTCATAATCATCTGATTAAACGGCAAAGCAAGAGCTCCCGCAGTGCATGCTGCTAAACTTAGTGGAGCTGCCTCCCAGCGTGAAATCAAGGAATGGAGAGTTGTTTTTTGAGTCCCTGGACACACGGATGACAGCTTCCTTCTTGCTTTTTTCCTTGTTCTCAGGTAGAATGATGACCCAACAGACTGTACAGGTTTTGTTTTAAATTTAGCATGTTGGACACAACTGTAAGTGGGAATTTCATCTGGGGGAGAGAGAGGAGACTGAGGACTGTATTAAGCACCCTGACTGGTGCTGCTGAACTGCACTCATGCGTTCTAACGCTAGTTTTCGGTTCTGCCTTCCAATAGCCACAGGCAACCCGAGGGACAGCGCTAGGCTGGAGAAGCATCGTGGCGAGGTCCGTGCGGGCCAACAGGAGCTCACAAGGTAGCAGAGAGCAAACGGGAGCAGCGGTGAGACAGGGCCACAGGTGTAAGGACAGGCCGGGCTTCAGGTGACACTTCAGGGCTTACCGAGAGGAGGAACGGGCCCTGAACACAGTACGGCTGCACGTGTGAAAGCCTTGAGTTTTACTTCTCTTCTAGTGCTGTGGCTACTCTGACATGTCAGCAAGAGCCGGAGGAAAGCTCCGCCCAGGAGTAAGGTAAGAAAGACCTCCTTACCTCCCTTTGTAATTGTTGACGTCGAAAATCTTCTTGGCACGGTAGTACACGAGTTTCCAGGGTCGTGCGATGCCCTTCCCTAGGGTCAGAGGGAGGGAGGCAGAGAGGCGCTGAGCGCCCACTGACCAGAGAAGGGACCCGGTGCAGCGCTGCGGGCCAGGCATCCCACAGAGGCAGAGGATCACCTTGCCAGCGGCCTCGGGGACCTGCAGACTAGACACTCAGACCCGGGGCTCACCACCTTTCAACGGGGTACTTTCCACAGCGCTTGAATTAAGGGGAAGGGAACACTAAGGTGGGGGGCACAAGCCAACAGTCCTCAGAATGAGCAAAAGGTTCCAAACTAAGCTTTCCTACTCTACAGCCGAAAGGAGGCGTCCAGAGGGCTCGCCATCCTGCTTCCTCTGCACTCCCCAGGGCACTTGCAAATCACCCTCTAAATTCGGGGCAGGTTTTTCACTGGGATCCTCCGTCACCTTCTGACTTCCCCAGAGCAGGGTCCAGCCAACCCGCCTCTGGCCCCACTTCATCTGACACGCAGGGGTGCACGCAGCACCCACGTAAAATAAGTCATACAGCACGAGAAACCCGAGCCCTGATTACCGCCGAGTGGGAAAGGCAGAAGGCGGCCATCTGCTTTCTCACGAGACCCGTAAGGACACACGGACGCAGCCCGAGCCCCAGGGTGCGACGAGAACATGACCAGCAGCTCAGGGCTTCGCGGGGTGGGACACCTCTTCCTCCTCCCCACGGGTACCTGGCCAAGGCCAGGCGGGGCACAGCGTGCTTCTGAACTCACCGATGTGCAGCCTGAACGCGTGCGTCCGCTTCAGATTCGTGATGGCGGCCTTCTCCTCGGGGTACCTGTCTGTGTACAGCAACCTGTCCGCGTTCTCGATCCCCGTCAGGGATAGGAAGTCTTGCACGTTTTCCTCTATCTGCTTATTTTCCTTGGCAGAAAACTTGCCAAATCTAATAGCAACGCCTAGGATTGAGGGTGGAGGTTCGCATTTGTCAGTAATGAACTGCAAACCAGCAGCCTTGGGAGCCCCGGTGCTGGCAGGCAACATCCCCAGGCCCCAGTCCCACTGCACGATGCTGCTTCAGGCCTGACCTCGTCTGTCCTCCCAGAGTCCTCCTTGGTCATTCTGTCCCACAGGGACCTTTCCTGCTTCCTCAATCTCTGTCTCTCTTCCTGACAGTACTGGGGATCGACCCCCACGCCTCACACATACTAGGCAAGCACTCTACCAACAGAGCTACATACCCAGCTTCCTCTTCTTTTTTGTGACAGTGTCCCACTAAGTTGTCAGGCCAGCCTCAAACTTGTGATCCTCCTGCCTCAGCCTCCTGAGTAGCTGGGATTACAAGTGTGTGCCACCATATCCATTAAAAATTTTAATGTAAAAAAATTTAATATCAAAAGTAACAGTCATTTAAAATCCAGACAATATGGAGAGAAAACACCCAGAAGAAGCCCCCTTCCTCCCTGTGCCGTGGGTTCCACCAAAGGTAATGTATAGAAAGAGGTGGATTCTACAAGCGTATCTTGGCCAGAAGGTGACAAATGTCAGACCTTCTACCCATCACTCCTTCCTATTCATCACACAAAGCACCCATCATGAAGCCGGGCATGGTGGTGCTCGCCTGTAATTCAGCACTTGGGAGGCTGAGGCAGGAGGAACACCATGCGTTCAAAGCCAGGCTAGGCTGCAAAGTGAGTTCAAGGCCAGTCTGCACTACATAGTGGGACCCTGTCTCCAAAATACAAACAAAACAAAAAAAACAAAACTCAATATGATGAACTGGATACAGTTAGTTCATTTGTTTCTTCCTTTCTTTTCTCCTTCCCTCCTATTGCTGGGGATCAAAACAGTATATTCTTCTGTTTTCAGGCTCATTCAAAAACACTTTTATGGGGCCGGAGATGGAGCTAGGCAGTGCTGTCTTGCAAGCGCAGGTCCTGAGTTTAATCCCTGGTAACCCCCCCAAAAAAACAAGCAAACCAAAAAACACCCACTTTTTATGAAATATGTCACTTCAAAATTTCAACAGAATATATTACTAAAAAGGGATCCTTACATACTGCTCTATACATTATGTGTAGTATTTATTTTTTTGCTTGATTTGTCTTTGCTTCTGAACTATTCTTTTCAACCTGATTCGTTCTTAAGGCAAAGGCTCTCTCTTTTCACTTCTGCCTGGAGAAGTGCGCTAGAGAAGCCCTAGAAGGCTACGAAGGAAGCCAAAGAAGGAATCATTGGTTTCTTCGCCTGCAGCTTGGGGACAATGGGTTCTGTTACAATTTTGATTTATTTTCTATTGATCTCTGTGTGTTTGTGTTTTTTGAAAATGCCTAGTGGTTTTCAAGAAGGAGAAGGATTAGATGTACCCAAAGATATGGAGGATAAGAATGTCACTGTTTGGACACAGCCTTCTCAGTCAAATAATAACTGAACAGAAGGTGCATTTGAGGGGAATATTTCTTTTAAGGAAATAGTTCTCAGGAAAATAGCATGTAATGTTACAGACGTTACTGATACTTCATCAGAATTACCACATATTGTCAAACATCTGAGAAACAATGAATCATTGGGGAAAAAATGGCCACTGGCATATTATCAGCTAAGATGGAAAGAAAGCTTAAACTCCTGCTAACTTTTCACAATGTATTCTATAATGATGTATTTGGCAGGCGCCAGCTCAGCAAGCGGAAATAGATGCCTAGAGAGATCAGCTCATTGCCCCTGACTTGCTATAAGGAAATAGAAAACTGTATAAAAGAAGCTCTTTGAAAAATAAATTCTGCAGCAGCATTTGCAAACTTCACCTCGGTGTTGAGTGCTTTTGTCTGACTGTCATCGCCAAACCTACTCCCACCTTTCAGAGAACCTGTATCTCCTTGTGAAATCCCGTGTTTGCTGCCCGACGGTCGGTAGCAGCCCCAGATGCTGGAGACAGAGCCATGGCATTTACTGTCTGCCCTGCTGGCTCTAAATCTTACTTTCATCCTGCTCCTTTCTGTCTCCCTCTTCTCCCTTTCAGCATAGCAACTTTTCCCACTGCCACTGTGTACTGGCGTTTAATTTTCGTTCTGAGTTTTACAGGGGCTCACAGCTAAGCCTTACCTGGAGTCTCAGAGGAGACTTTGGACTTGGACTTTGTCACAGTGCTAGAACTGTAAAGTCCTTAGCAACCCTTAGAGGTGGACTAAAAGTATTTTACATAAAGAGATGGCTATGAGTCGTTTGAGGGGCAGGGGCAAGACGTTATGGTTTAGATCTAGAATATCACCCCAAAGACTCACGTGTAGATGTAGGGCTTTGGGGAGGTGACTGGATTACAGGATGCTACGGTGACCTGCTGTTAGGAGGTGGGGACGCTGGTGTGAGGCATAGGTGGGTATCCTCTTGTCCCCCAGCTCCTCCTCCTCTTCCTGCTTCCTGGCCACCGTGTTGTGAGGTTTCCTTTGCCAGATCTGCTGCCATGCCCTTCCCGCCTTGCAGCAGCCACCTACAGACTGAATTCTCTAAAAACTATGAGGCTTAATAAGCCTCTCCGCTTCTAAATTATGGGTACTGGGTATAATGTCCCAACGACAAGAAAGTGACTAAGGACCTGGATTAAATAGATGGCGTTTTTCTAAATCCAGTAAGGTGTTGGGGAGGCCCTTGTGACAGTGAAATCAAGGGGAGCACACTGGGTCTCGAGACCACACTCATGACGAGTTCATGCTCCAAGTAACAGGGTGGGGACAGAAAGGACATATCACCCAAGCTGATGATGTCAACCTGACAGTTCCAATTCTGTTTTACTTCCCTACCCTTCCCAGTATCCCAACCAACAACCCCTTCTCTTTTTCTAGGCCGGAGGCATCTGGTCACTTGGTTCTCATTCTTCTTGCCCAAAACAGGCACATTGCTTCACTAATTTCTCAGCGGGTCAACAGCTCTGGGATGGAGCCACAGGGTAACCACTCACGGAAATATCCAGGGGCCGGATCCGCGCGTGGGGGGAGCCAATGGGGAAAAGGTACCGCTGCTCACCTTGCTCTTTAAATTCTTTAAACCGCTCCAGGTCATCGTGGTACATTCGCTTGATCGTCGTGGCAGCCCTTGCCTTGATGTCAGGAATGAACTCCTGGAGCTGCCTCACCGCCGAATGCAGGTCCACATCCGAATGATCAGACTCTGTCCAGTCTTCGGACGCCAGTCTCACAGGCACGCCAGCCAAGTCCAGATGGCTTTCTTCTCCACAGGTGGGTTCTGACCTGAGAAGGACAGCTGGTTAACATTCACTGTCCCTGGACTTCATAAGGACACTGGGTTAACATCAGCTACCACCTGACCTGAGCTTTTAAACTCACTTCCTACACAGCTCTCCCAGTGTTCAGGCTGGATGGGGGCAGTGGAGTTCAGCCTCTTTAGTGTGCTCTGATTTATTTCGGTGTATGTCCCAAGTGGCACAGCAGGTAACATGAGGCCCCAAGCACTATTTTTACGGCTTATGATTTGTTTAATTACTATTCTGATCTTTTTGGGGTTTTATCCCTACAGAAAACCAGACATTCCTCCCCAGCCCTTCCAATGAATAAATTTTATAATAGGACCATTAGGAATTGATTAAATTAGTATTCTGGATTTTACAGTTATAGTTGTTCCTGCTACGGATTCTAAGGGCTTTTTTTTTTCTTTCCTTTACTTAATTTTCTGTGTCTCTATCCTAAGTCCTCCCCGAGTTCTCTGCCAGATGTCTAAATCCACACTTCGTATGTCCACACATATTACGGAGCCTCTCGGACTGGCAACTAAAATGATGCCGTGCGCCTGTCTGAGCAAAGCATTAACAGCTCCTGGAGGGTCCACAGCCCCACCGGAAGTGAAGCGCCACATTCCAGCAGTCCCACTTCCTGCGCAGTGTCCCAAAAGTCCCCACAAGACCGTGGAGGATGGTGAAAGAGGCCCACAGCTATTAGCAATACCATTCAACTTTCAGGTGAAGCTACCTTATGTCAGGACAGCCCTAACACATCTAAGAAAGTCACTGAGCAAAAGTAAGGGAACTCTGTGCTGAGTCCCAGGAACTATGAAAAAGTACTTTTTACAAAATGCTCGTCTGTCAGTTCATCAGACAGTATACTGAAATGGTATTTACGTAAGCTCACCACTCCCACATTACCTCCGTGCCTCTTTGGTGCGCTTCTTTCCTGAAGAGGCCTGGGTTTGCTCCTCCTGGGCTTGCTCCTCCTGGGCTACCTCCTTCCCGTTTTCTTCAATCAAAACACGACTGCCTGCCACCGAGCCACAGAGTGTGTCCTCCGAGTTCTCACCATGCACTAAAAAGTCATCACCACGCACCGAGGTGCCCTGGACAGATGCACGCTTCCTTCTCTTCGAACTGACCTTTACCTTGACCCTTCTGAGCACATCGCTGCCTTCCCCTGCCCTGACCTCGCTGCCCACCTGCGATTCCACAGGGTTATTGGGACTCTCAGGCCTGGCAAAGGCCTCCGATTTCTTCTTTTTTTTCTTAGCCTTCCTTCTATGAGCAGACTTTGGTCGCTCTGGGATTTCACCTCCTTGGTCCACCTTTAGAAAGGATGGCTGCTCGTGTGACTCCTTCTGGGGCCTGGGTTTCACATGCCCTTCAATCGAAGCATCACTGCCTTGTGTGGAACGCCAGTGTGTGTTCTGAGAGCTCTCATCGCCAGACGCCATGGCGCTTTCCACAGACACACGCTTCCTTTTCTTAGGCTTTTCCTTCATACCGATGGATCCCTCAACCCTTCTGAGTACATCACTGCCTTCTCCAGCCCTGATCTCGCTGACCACCTGCGATCCTTCAGGGAGCTCACGATCAGGACTCTCAGGCCTGGCCAAGGCCTCCAATTCCTGGAGACTGAATGGTTTCTTCTTTTTTTTCTTAGCCTTCCTACTATGAGCAGACTTTGGTCGCTCTGGGATTTCACCTCCTTGGTCCACCTTTAGAAAGGATGGCTGCTCGTGTGACTCCTTCTGGGGCCTGGGTTTCACATGCCCTTCAATCGAAGCATCACTGCCTTGTGTGGAACGCCAGTGTGTGTTCTCAGAGCTCTCATCGCCAGACGCCATGGCGCTTCCCACAGACACACGCTTCCTTTTCTTAGGCTTTTTCTTCACACCGATGGATCCCTCGACCCTTCTGAGTACATCACTGCCTTCTTCAGCCCTGATCTCGCTGACCACCTGTGATCCTTCAGGTAACTCACCATCGGGACTCGCAGGCCTGGCCAAGGCCTCCGATTTCTTCTTTTTTTTCTTAGCCTTCCTTCTATGAGCAGACTGTGGTTGCTCTGGGATTTCACCTCCTTGGTCCACCTTTAGAAAGGATGGCTGCTCGTGTGACTCCTTCTGGGGCCTGGGTTTCACATGCCCTTCAATCGAAGCATCACTGCCTTGTGTGGAACGCCAGTGTGTGTTCTGAGAGCTCTCATCGCCAGACGCCATGGCGCTTCCCACAGACACACGCTTCCTTTTCTTAGACTTTTTCTTCATACTGATGGATCCCTCGATCCTTCTGAGTACATCACTGCCTTCTCCAGCCCCGATCTCGCTGACCACCTGTGATCCTTCAGGGAGCTCACGATCAGGACTCTCAGGCCTGGCCAAGGCCTCCAATTCCTGGAGACTGAATGGTTTCTTCTTTTTTTTCTTAGCCTTCCTACTATGAGCAGACTTTGGTCGCTCTGGGATTTCACCTCCTTGGTCCACCTTTAGAAAGGATGGCTGCTCGTGTGACTCCTTCTGGGGCCTGGGTTTCACATGCCCTTCAATCGAAGCATCACTGCCTTGTGTGGAACGCCAGTGTGTGTTCTCAGAGCTCTCATCGCCAGACGCCATGGCGCTTCCCACAGACACACGCTTCCTTTTCTTAGGCTTTTCCTTCATACCGATGGATCCCTCGACCCTTCTGAGTACATCACTGCCTTCTCCAGCCCCGATCTCACTGGCCACCTGCAATCCTTCAGGTAACTCACCATCGGGACTCTCAGGCCTTGCCAAGGCCCCCGATTCCCAAGGACTAGAGAGTTTCTTTTTTTTCTTCGCTTTGTCTTTGCGAGCAGACTCTGGTAGCCCTGTGATTTCACCTTCTTGATCCACAGACAGCAAAGATGGCTGCTCGTGTGATTCTGGCTGGGGCTGGGAGATGCTCACATGCTGGCGATCCTGCACAGTATCCCAGGACGTGGCTTTCCTAGGACACTTTTCTTTCTTCTTCCTCCTAACTTTATTATACAGTTCTTCTGGTTCATTTCTATTCAACTTGGCAACGGCACCCAATTTGTCTGCTTTATGCCCTTTTGTTGTCTTTCGTACCTTGCTCACATCAACGTAAACGACATCCACATCCTTCCGACAATTCTTCGGCATGTTCTCAATATTTTCTTTGTCCACAAAGAGATACATAACACTTGTCTCCTTGTCTACCGTCAAAGCACCATTTCTTCTGTTTTGATGAGTCAAAGTGGCCTTTTTACTCTTATCGCAGATTTCTGGTTTTTTCAAAGGAGAAGAAATGAGAGGCTGGAAATCCTTCCTCTTCTTAGTTATTTGAGGGTGGTCACTTGTCAGAGAGCATCTCTGAAACTTTCGTGGACACGTTTCCGGGGTCTTTCCTTACATACAGGGTACTTTTCCTTGTTGAAAACGGGAGGGTGGATTTCAAATCTGCTTGATTCTCCTTCCATTTCATGCCTACAGAGAAACGTGACAACAGTAGTTTATTATTGCATTTTAAATATTAGCCTGGGTCGGGGGCGGAAATCACAGCAAAATGAAACTGCATGACGAATGACAAACGTGCTATCCCAATTATAAATTTTATACTAAATTATGTAAAATGCACAAAAGAACCACTGGAACCCACCCCCTTTAAGACCACGAGTAAAGATGAAGTTTCATAGTGAACCGAAACTGTACTTCTCTTCTGTATTTAAGTTTAAAAAACGAACTCATGACTTAGTCGTTGAATGTATCTCTTTTGCTAAAAAGGCAAATTCCAAAGAGGAAGGCAGTCTGTCTGCCTCACCCCTCCCCGTTTCCATCCCTGAAAGCTGCATTGCAGGACTCCACAAGTGCAGGCTGCACAGTGGGCTCCACGTGGGGCACCAAGTATGCAGGGACCCCAGCTGGGAGGGTCGGTTCTTTGCAAAAGAGGGCAGACATACCTTGTTAGTGTCCAACAAAGGGTGAAAACACTGCACCACATACAGCTCTCATGTCAAAGTAAGGCACATGCATTTTGGAATTTAAGCACAGTAACAGAGATGTACTTTAGAAAATACATGGTTAAAAAATATAGTTCTGCAAGCATACCATATTCTTGCTCTGCATTACTTCTCTGTTCAAATGTTTAGATTTTATGTAGCTTTGACTATGTAATACATTTATATGGCTCAAATCTAAAAAGTCTTCACTTATTTTCTCTCCTTGGCATTGACATAATTCAATCTGCAGATGTTGTTCACTAATAACAGATTTTGGAGTTTGAAAGCCTGAATGCTATGCATATTTCCAGCAAAAGGCACCCAACATATCGCGGGTAGTGGGTGGCAGCTCTAAGACCTGTGCTGCTGGAGGGAAAAGGATGTGAAAGAATATCTGAATAAATAACTACAAGGCAGGTCCCTCAGCCCTGAAGCCTCACCTGTCACGGGGGCACCTAGAGCTCTGGGTGAGGCCATCATCCCTGATGTCACCCAGCTGGGAATCATCACCCACAGATGCAGGGATGCCTCTCTGTGACCTCGGCTATCAAACGGGTGCTCTAACTTGACTCCCTATTCAGAGAGGGTCTAGCAGGTCAGGTCTTATGGCTTATGAAGCTTCAACTCCTAGCACTGAGTGGCTGTAACAGCTAAGTAAGCTTCTTTGGCTCCGCTCAAGCTGCTGAGAATGGCTGGAGAAAGAAAACTCACATCTGGGCAGATGAGCTCCACTCTAAACACCTGGTTCCTGCCTACAGCTGGGACCTGAACACTGCGAACTCTTTCTCTAGATCCGTGTAGTTCCATGGGTAGGTAGTAGACATGTGAGACTAATAAGGACTTGAAATGTGGCCAGGACTATAGGGAACAGGGCAGGGGACATCACCAGGCCCTCTGTTGTGGGTCCTGGCCTGTGAGCTGCCACAGCACAAGGTGAATTAAAGGACAGACAGAAACAAGACTTAAAGAGTGGAGAAGCTGAGTCTTGGGTCCTGGTCAGTGCTGCTGATGGCAGCAAAGTCAAAGGCCCCCAGGCACATCCAATATTTACTAAATACAATGATGGAAAGGAATAGGGAGCAAGGTGTGTTTTGAAGGCATCTAGTGAAAAACTGTCGAACACCTGGCATGATATTAGGGAGTAGGCACTGCTTATCTTGCTTGTATAGAACAAACCGGTACTGGGACCGGGTACAATTAGCAAGTAATTGCTAATCAGGTCGGTGAAAAGCCATAATTCAGGAGGTAGGATTTTAATTGGGGTCACGGTGATCTCAGCTGCAGTAACTCAGGGGAGCCCTGCCACTTCCCAGACCAGGACCTAGGTTTCCGTGGCAGCTGTTGGGGAGGGGCTATGCTTTCCCAGTCACCATCTGACACGCCCATCTGAGTCCAGGGGAGCTTGGGTCTGACTCCTGATATGAAACAATACAGCCGAATTATGGAAGGCAAGAAGCAGGTGCCACTCAGCCCGCTAGTGCTGGGCAGGGATGTCTGCTACACAGGACACACTGTGGCCTGCTATAAAACACACTACATTTTGAAGACTTCAGAGAGGATTAAACATCTCATTAATAATTTTTATATGCTGACTTAATATTGAACTAATATTGGATACTGGGTTAAGTAAAATACATTCCTAATTCTGCCTGCCCCTTTGAAAGCTTTTTAACACAGTTACTGGAAAATTTTAAACTACATGTGCAGCTCGCACCATTCCATTCTTCTTAAAATAGCAATTATTTCAAATTTCCTTTACTTCAAAGAACTTCTGAATGTCTTTCTCTAATCTGCTGCTATGATCACGCCTACAACCTCACACTCTCAAGACAAGAAACAGCTTACGCTCAGAATCAATCGCACCTGCTTCTACCCTCTCTATTGCTCCAACAACGTATCCCTCTCCTTGTAGGTCATTCGCCTCAACGTGTGTGCTGACCCCAACCTCCACCTGCCTTCTCAGAGTGATCTATCAGGTGCCTACTCCCCATTTGGGGCTCTCCCTTCTGCACTGGCTCCTGTGTAGCAACACTCCAACAATGTTCTGTCTTTCCTACTTAAAAAAATAAAAATTAGAAAGCAACCACCATCTAACCCTCAAGCCCATTTAGTTAGTCCCCTCCCCCCATTTCTTGAGAGAGAAAATTTTCTTTCCGTTTCCTCACCTTCCACTTCTTCTTAAGGTACTGGAGATAGAACCCAGAGGCCTTCTACCACTGAACTACATCCCTGGCCCTCCTTTTTTTTTTTTTTTTCTTTTTCATTTTTAAAATTTTGACACAGGGTCTCAGTTGCCCAGGAGGGACTCAAACTTGTGACTCTGGCCTGGCCTCAGCCAGAATACTGAGATTACAGGATGCGTTGGGCTTCATCCAGTTCTTGACCTACATCTTTGTAGCTTCCATCTCAGCACTCCTCTGGGACTGCTCCAGGAAAAATGCCTGTGACCTTCAAGTCACTGAATTTATTAGATAGAGTTCAGGATCCCTAAATAACAATGAATAAAAAGGACAATTCCTTTAAATACTCTTACCTTCCATCAGTTTCTTTCTTTTTTGGTAAACACTCCTCCTAGGTATCCTTCTGGCCTTTCCATTCAGTTCAACCTTTAAAATACACAAGCATTCCCTACTAAAAACACTATACAGTTCTCCCCCATTATTCTTAAGATAAAGTAAAAATCTTTACAGCCCGACGAGTCTCTTCCAGTCTTCAGGACCTGGTGTGGACCATGTCTACCTCTATATTCCTGCTTTCAGCTGGGTATCACGCTCCGTGCCTTCTTCCAATTTCTAGAATACACTAACATACCTTTTTTCCTGCCAGACACTTCGCAAAAGCAGCCAGTTCGTCCCAGATTGAGCTTAGGTCCCATTGCTGCTGTGCCCTTTAACTGGCCTCAGTATGAAACCCACTTTCTCCAGAGGCCCTCGCTAATTCCTTAATGGGACCCCATCTCCCCGTCTGTATAGTGTTTCCCAACAACCCAGCTCTTCCCTAACGCAGTCCGCAGCTGAGACGGGGCCGGCCTCTGAAGGCAGGGATCTTGCCCGGTTCGCTCCCAAACGGCCCCTCAGAGTGCCGCTTCCTCCCAAGAGGACACACGCGCGTCCCCACTGGTTGGAAACACACTTCCGCCCTGAGGCTGAGCTCAAGCGGGGCCAGGCCTCCCTCCCCGTCTCCGGATGCGACAGAGACCTTGCTCTGCTTGCGGTGGGCTCTCCGAGTTCTAATCAGATGGGGACTTTCCATCCTCTTATACCCAAAGTCCCAAGGTGCTGCGACCCGCGGCGGCAGCGAAGGCCGAGGCGCCAATCCAGTCATGGTGACCGCAGGCCAGAGGCAGGTCTCCCAAAAGTTCAAGGCGACCGCTGCTCGGCTTCTACAGGCTCGGGTTAACACACGAAAGTAAGTAGTAAGGGCGCTTTCAACCTACCTCGTAAGAAACGTCGCCACTAATTTCCCAACCGGAAGTGTCTCCTTTGGAAGCGGAAGTAGCTGTGCGTCATTTCCAGGCCCCTAGGTGACATTGCTGCCATAGCAACACGTCCGCCGCCAGGATCTGGCGCGTGCGTAGTTGCCTGCCCGTGGTCTTGGCGCCTTGGAGGGTAGGATGAGGTGAAAGTGCTTTAAAACTAAGAAACTGGGAGGAAATTTTTCCATTGCCTTCTTTTTGTACTTGTTTTTATTGAGACAGGTCTTGCTTTGTAATGCAGGCTTGCTTTGAGCTATGTATCCCAGCTTGGCCTCAAACTCTCAGTGATCCTACTGCCCCAGCCTCTCCAGTTCTGGGATTATAGGCATGCGCCACTACCTCAGGCTCAGTGCCTTGTTAATCCATGCATACATTCAGTTTATTCCGTAAATTTTTGCTCAGATCTATCTGTGGTCGGGCAGTAAACAACCCAGGGAAGACAGATGAACAAATCAATCAAGATAATTTCAGATTATCCTATTAGAAAAATAAAACAGAGTAACGCGATGGAGAATGACTGGGGACAATGGAAATGAAAAAAAAAAAAAAAAAAAAAAGGAGGGCCAGGGATGTAGTTCAGTGGTAGAAGGCCACTTTTGATGAAGAGAAGACTCTTTGAGGTGGTTTCTAAGTGAATAAGACAAGGTGAAATCTAGGTAGATGAGTGATCCAGGCTAGAAGTTCAAAGCCCCTAAAACTTGGTTTCCAGAGAAGTGAAAAGCGGGATGAAGTCAGGGGCAGGCAGGGCCAGCTGAGTGAAGTCTCACAAGACCGTGGAGCTCCATTCCAACCTCTCATTTCAACAAAATCTCAGGCTGGGGGGTGTAGTTCAGTGTTTTTGTCCCTACCATCATCTACACACACACACACACACACACACACACACACACACACAAACACACGGGTGTGCCCACACAGGCTGCTCCAGGCCTCAGACAAGCAGTGGGAAGCCTATCCAGTCTGCCTTGTTAATGTGGTGCTGTCTGCTGTTGGTGTGTAAGACCCTGAAGAACAGACCGGTTGTCAGTGCAGCTTGCTCTGTAGCAAACCAACCCAGAGCCTCGTGGAAGTGGGTATCTGCCTGTTTAGTGAGGAAGATAGTGATGGGTGAGGATTGGAACTGGAAGGGGATTAGAGACCATCCAGACTAGTGGTTCCCAAAACACTGCACAGATCACCCAGGAAGCTTTTTACAAATATAGATTCCCAACTTTGCACACAAACTGTGTATTAGACACTATCATTGCATCACAGTGGAATCTTTGGACACGATAAGGACATTGGTGTCAGGTGTGAATGTGTCCTTGATACGTGATGAATTATTGAGAGTTAAACAAGATATTGTTCGAGATATTTTCAAGTGACCCAGCGATGTGGGCGTGTGTGTCGGTACACACACTCGAGTGTGAAAGCAAGTGTGGCAAGAGTGAGGACTGATGTGTCTTGGTGATATTTGTATGAGTTTTCCTTATACTCTTCTTTCAACTCTCCAGTAGGTCTGAACTTTTTCAAAATAAAATTGGTTGTGGGGAAGAGATAAATTTTCAGATATCCTGATTGGGCAAGCCTGGGTGAATCCCGAGACACTTAATTTTTCAATTTCCCTCTGTGCTGTTGCACAGAGTTGAATACTATTGATCTAATCCACCTTTAGACTTTCTTTTACACTCATTTTGCAGAGGAAAACACTGAGGCCCCAAGAGGGTAACTGGCTTGAGATCACCCAGTGGGTTATGAGCAACATCAGGCCTGGGATGAGGATTTTTACTCCATCATGAAAGTTTCAGCTCTTTATCTTGGTTCAGGGAGAAGAAGTGGGGAGGGAACCCTGAGTGGAGGGGAAGTGGGTGGAGGGAGGATGTCTCTGACTTGGAAGTCAAGCATTAATACTCCTCTAGGACCCCACACTTTTAACACAACTAGTGACTGTCCTTGGGTTTTTTTTGTTTTTGTTTTTTGGTTTTTTTTTTTGGTACCGGGGATTGAACTTGGGATCTTGGGTTTTCTTATTGAGGCATGGTAGAAGAAATAAAGATAGGTAGAAAGGAGACAAAAAAATACAATTTTACTTTTACAAAAAGCTGCAACTTCAGGATACAAAATTTATTTGTGCCTTTTCCATCCCAGGAAACACACACACACACACACACACACACACACACACACACAGGCACACACAAGTGTCTTAAAAACAAGATAAGCTTGGGCTCCTGCTTTTCACCAGTAAATTATGCTTCCAGCCGAGGGCAGCAAGCACATCTCAGCTTCCAACACATTCTAACAGCCTGCCAGTTGGGTAGCCCTCACAGACACTGGGAGGATGCATCTTGAGGACACCCCATGTCCACTGGGAAGCCCCCAGCTGCTGACCACGCTGCACTTTTCTCTCTCTTGGAACAGCACTGCAATTCTGAGTGTTAGCTTTTAAGTTCTGTTTGATAAACCTCTGTTTGCCTCTCACTGATGCGTCCTGAAAATTCTATTTTCTATGCTGGAAGTCAGTGAACCCACAACCTGCCCCGTGGGCGGGGTGAGTCGAGGTTCCTCATCTCCTCTTTGGGGGACATCTCGGACCCTATCCCATGACACTATGTCAAGTTAAGAAAACTCTAAAAGACCCATCTTGGTGGTGGCCAAGACTTTCTGGAAAGAAAAAGTTTGGGCGCTGTTAGCGTCCCGTCGCCATGGAGACGGACAGTTCCATTCCCCCTCAGGGTGTGGTTTTGGTTTTCCTTCCTCTCCTAGTCCTATTGCGGTGTGCAAAATAACTCTGGTGAACCAGCGGGGCTTGTGAGTACGATCTTGCGCCTCCGTGCACCGAAGCGATGTCGGGAGACCTGCAAGCCCCGCTCCGGTGGAGGCCGGCATCCGGGGTCCACCCTAGGGTCCGGGTGGTGCGGCCCAGAGCGAGCGGGGACCCGGAATCCGGGAAAGGGCTCCGTACCCAGCCGGTGTCTGACTCGGGCGACCTCCAGGATGTCGGAGGCCGAGAGTTCCCGCAAAGAGCCCGCGCTGCGGAAGATGAAGAAGAAGGAGCCGGTGCGCCGCACCGTCAGCCAAATCTGCCCGCCCCCGCGGCGGCCCCTGACGGTGGCCGACATCCACCCGGGCATGGAGAACCAGCGGCTGGGGGTCGTGCGCGACTCCATGTTTCAGAACCCGCTCATCGTCAAGGTGAGCAGAGCGGACGCCCCGGGCCTGTGTCCCAGGACAGCACTGGAAACTCCGCTCCGGATCGCCTCCGGCGTGCAAGGGCAGGTGGCGCCTCCGCCCTGAGCCGGGTTCCACATCCCCTGGGTGGGACGATGTCCCAGGGACGCGAGGGCTGGGAAGCCTGGGCGGGGGCGGGGCCTCGGGTCTCTCCGGGTCTCCCCAGGAGCTGGCTGTGAGCCTCCGGGTGACGGGGGGGGGTCACAGACGCCCCCTGGGAGGTGGATGCAGGCCGCCCATCCCCTTCCTCTTGCACCCCGGGGCTACCACTGTGCGGCAGGTGCTGCAGCGGGAAGCAACACTTCACAGGTTCATTTTCCCCAATGTCCTCTCATTCAGATCACTACCTAAAAGAAAATAAAAGCGCGACTCTGGTGTGGGAGGCTTCGCCGGCAGGACGGGGTTGGTGGTGGGAATGGTGGGGTGCTGGACCCTCTCCGGCGATATCACTCCCTTTTATCGCCCGCTACTCCCTTTTGTCTGGTCTTCCTGGGCGTGGGAGCGGGGTCCCCGCCTTCCCCCGGGCCGCAGGAAAAGTCAGGCCGAAGCTCGGCTGTGGGGACGCGCGGTGGAGCAAACTTCTCTGGCGCCACTGGAGGGCGGTGCGCTTTTAAAAATGCGCTGCGTTTCCGGGCGCGCTGTTCCGGTCGCCAGCAGGGAGGCGCTTGGAGGTCGGGTTGGTTTTTTGGGAGGAACTCGGGCTTCCTGCGCGAGAATTACCCTGAGTCTGCTCTGGCCTTCAGCGCAGACGTTCCTGGAGACAGGGACGGTACCGGAGAGCGGCCGGGCATCCGGAGAAGCTGGCGTCACGCTCGCAATGCAGAACAAGGCCTTCGCCCTTTATTGAGAGAACTGGTGTGCTATGCCCGCAGTGAGAGACGCATACCTGCTCTACATCTGTATGTGTTGTATCAGATGTTGTATATGCACGCGTGTGTGTAGTGGATTACGTGTACATATATGTGTAAGATTTAATGCCGCAGCTCTGCTTGCATAATTTCCTGCCTACCCCCATCCCTCATATTTGGGGACAGCTTTTAGCCTCTGGGTGGCACTAGCTGCCCAGCTTCGAGCACGGAGTCCATCCCCGATTCTTGACTCGTGGAGCGATGGAAAATGCGCCAGCGATGGCCGAGGCGCTGCTGGGCTTCTCTGTGCGGGGGCCGGGCGTTGGCACAGGCTGGGGACCCACGGCGTGGGCTGCCTGCTGACTCAGCCTGGGGCAGCCTGGAGCAGCCTTTCCCTGTGTCCCTGGCCTCTCAGAGCAGCGGAGGGTATTCTCTGTAGCTGTTAAAATGGTGTCCGTATTTCAGTATTTACACTCTTGTAGGGTCTTCTATCAACACCTGACCAAAATGAAAGTTGGCGGGGAAATTGAGCGGGAAGAGAATCGTCACTGCTGCCTTTCCCAGAAGCTGCTCGCAAGCGAGTCCACAGAGGTTCCCTCTGCCAGGCATTTTGCTTAAGCTTCGGGCTGAGTCTGGGTTCAAAGCAATGCCCCTGGCCACCATCGCTTTTACCCCTCCAAGTGGCTTCCTATACATACAGATTTGAATTGTGAGACTTTAGAGGTTCTGGCTCTAAGGACAAAGGGAAAATGGAAAGTATTTAAGGCTGGGGAGCCTTCAACATTTTTTAAAATGTTACTGAAATTTCTGTTGGGCTTGTGGATCTCTTCATCGTAGCCACATGGTTTCCTGGGCCCAGATTTTCAGATCCTGAGCTGAAATGTGTGTTAGAATCTGGGAAAGCCCTTTTACCCCCACATGTCTCTGGGAGCGTGACTGAGGCTGAAGTGCATTTTGATTTTGCCTACCCTGCTGGAAGCAATGGATCTCTATTGGGGGAGTACAGTGCCCTAGAAAGGGCCGTCTGTGCCATCATACGAAGGGTTGATGCTTGGACTCTTTTCTCCAGTGGGTGGGATCACCATTTTTTTCATGGAAAATGTTGAGACCCCGACTGAACAAACCAGCAGTGGTATCTTCCACCCGTGGAATTTCAGGAACATGCCTGCGAGATGCCACGGTAACCAAATGAAAAGGGAAAACACAGACATTTAAATGGGTATTTTATCTACAAATGTGCAGTGTCTACTCGCTTCTTTTACAATCAGCCAACTGGCTATCCCCAGGCATCAAAGTGAATCAAGAAGATGGTTTGTGTGGCCACAAAAAGTTGCCAATAGCTTTCATTAAAAGGGCTTCTCCTTTAGTATACAGAGTGATGTGCAGGTAGGCAGACTTCCTCCTGGTGTGACTCTCTGGGAAGGGTGATATTAAACTGAGAAAAATCCGAGCTTCTTCCCGCTCAATTCTCCTTTCTCCAGCATCCTGTGACTCAGCATAGACTCCTGCAACAACAGCCTTCAAGGCTCCTTCAGGAGGCCTGTCAAGGGGCCCCCTCCTGCCAACAGAAGCCGGCTGAGAACCTGTCAATACAATTATGGGGCATTGGCGGGGGGGTTAGCTCAGTGGTGCCACCTGCCTCGAAAGCACAAGGTCCTGAGTTCGATCCCTGGTACCAAAACAAAACAAACAAACAAAAAAACAGTTATGGAGAGACTGCTTGGCTTGCTCCACTGACAGCCTTGAATCTTCCGTCAGCCTGGAGAGGCAGGCTCCGCACTGGGGTGGAATTTATTGAAATGAGTGCTCTTAGAAAGCGCAATCATCATGGCACCCGATTTTTTCATAATTTATCACTGACTTTGTTTTGGGAGGGGGTTATGTCACAGATATCATAGAATCGTGGTGGTTGGGGCCAGAAGGAGGCTTACAGACATCTAACCCAATTCCTTTTTTTGAGAATGTTAAAGTCCAGCGAGAGGAGGAGACTTGCTGAGGTTCTGCCGTGACCTGGTGACAGAAATGGGGTGACAGTCGAGCCTCCTGGCTCACAGCCCTGTGCTCTCTTGGCCACAACTCATGAATCGTGGATCACTGCCAACCCAGGTTGGCTACATCCTGTAGAGCAGGCAGTCAAAAATGTCCCCCGGTGCATCTGATTTCAATTTCATTTCACTCTGTGCTCTTTCTGAGGTGAGCACTACTGATTCTCCGGACTCACTGCCAACCAAGAAATGTTTATTGAATACTTACAAAGCCCAAAGCCCAATACCTGTCTGAGCTATCTTGGGGCACAGAAATAAGTGACACACTCGGCCCTTGGCCACAAGGAGTTTATTTAGTATGTAGCTGGAGAGATGGGACAGGCACACGGGTGTGCACACATGCACACACATTTGCACACATACATGCACAGCACCGGTCTTAAAGAGGATAGTCAGGAAATATTAGTCGTCCCCCCACGAGCTCTGGGAATCAAACCTCAGAGCCTGTGCACTGCAGGCAAGGGCTGTCCCACTGGACCGCACCCCCAGCCCTTTTAAAATTTTATTTTGAGACAGGATCTTGCTAATTGCCCCAGGCTGGCCTCCAACTTTTAGTCCTTCTGCCTCAGCCTCCCTGCTGGTTGGGCTAACAGGTGTGCACCACCACAACCAGCAGAATGTGGGCTCTTTCTGTGACTCACACATGCTACCAACAACATGAGGGATGTCATGCATCATGCACTGTGGATTTTCAAGAGAACTACACTGCCCAGAATGGTGCAGGTTTGGGGTAGAAAGCCCTGGGCAGGACTGAGGGAGGCTTTATAGAGAAATAGACCCAGGGGCCGGAGATTTAGCTCTGTGGTGCTGCTGCCTACCTCGCAAGCCCAGGGATCAGAGTTCGATCCCCGGTACCAAAAAAAAAAAAAAAGAAATAGACCCAGAAGTGGACTTGAATTGTAAAGAATCATATTCACACCAGGATAAGCAGAGTGGGAAAACCAGCTGTGTAGGGCTGAATGATTCCACCCTCCTTGGATCCTTGCTGCTATTGGCTTTCTCCACAACTCAAGTTCTAGTTCATAAGACTCAGTGCTGCTGCCGGGGTCATTATCATCACCGTCTCGAGGAAGCATTTATTTAGAGCCTCTGTGTTCCAATTGGATGCTCCACAAAATTAGGCAACCGCACTATGCCCACTAATAGCTTAACATGGCTAATAAATATTGATGCCGGGAACATAAGCACACAGATAGATACAAACACAAAGCAGGCAGGCAGACACAAACACAGTTGTACAGATATCCCAGTGAGGGTCAGTATTTTGTTACCTTTGAGAACAATGTGAAACGTTCTGTGCAGCTTTAGCTGCAGAAGAGACTGTGTCTCGGATTGCTCGGATCCTTTTACATTCAATTACGAAGTAACAGGAGAAAGGAAAGTGCTAGAAGGGATTAAAAGAGAGAGGCCAGTTCTCTCGGCTGGCCGGCCAGTGGGCAGCTCTCCTTTTTCAGAGGATGCCATGGGTTTAGCTATCCTTGCTCTGTTCTCTCTCTCTCTCTATCTCTCTCTCTCTCTCTC